CCCTGGCCGCCAGGCTGTTGGCCCTGCCCGTGATCAGTGCCTCCTTTCCAGAGCTGAAGGACCTGAGCAGCTCCTTGACAAGCCCTGAGATGACCAGAGAGATCGAGGAGTTGAGGAAGGACTGTGCAAGTTACACGGAGAAACTGGAGAGGATTAAGTCTGCCACCAACCACGTGACTCCGGAAGAAAAAGAAAAGGTAAAGAGCTGCCTGGGGCTGAGCCGAGCACCAGCAGCAGAGCCCGGGCCAGGGCTGGGCCAGTCGTACCAGACTCTCCACCAGGTCATATGGTCCCCAGTCCAACTGACAGTGGTACGACAAAGGCAGGGGGTTGTGTGGGGCCTGGGCTGCTCCGTAGAGGCTGTGCGCAAGCCTCGGCTGTGTGTGCGATGGTGACGACTCTCGGGGCATCTTTAGGAAACAGCCTGAGCTGCCTCTTCCTTGCAAACCTTTGCTTCGGACAGTCACCTGCCACTTGGTCAGTTCATCCTTTCCCTGTTTCGAGTGATCGGTTTCACAGAGAGGTTCACATCCCCGCAGGGGTTTTGTGAGCCATTTGTGCTGTTAAACAACCCCCTGGCTATAGCTGGGACGTCTGATGGGTCCTTGGCACCAGGCACTTCCCACCTCAGGCTTACGGCGGCTTCATGGGGTGGCTGCTGCCTGGTTGCTTCTCATTTTGTCCCGCTGTTTGCAGGTCTGTAGTGAGCAGAAGCTGTACTGCAAGGAGTGGCGGAGGAGGAAGCGAATGGTAACGGTCGTGCCATCGAGCGGGGCGGGTGGGCAGCGCCGGGGAGGTGACAGTCCTGCGGTGACACTGGCACCCCAATGGGGACGTGGGGTCTGCTGGGCAGCTCGGGGAGCAGCCCCTGTTCAAGCTGAGGACTTTCCCACTGCTGCGGTGCTGAGTGAGGAGACCTCAGGCGAAGGCTATAGCTGTGGAGTAGGGAGTGCTGTGCCAGCCGTGCTTGGTGCCGCCCTCAGGGCGGTGTGGGTTTGGGGAAGACTCACAGGTACCAAGACGATCCCCTGGGAAAAGCCCGTGTCGCTGCAGTGCCCAAATACGCGAGCCCCTGCCTGTCCTCGGGAAACAAAGCAGACTCTCCTTGCATTAGAACTGCTCCCACGCTGTCACCCGGACAGTCCCCGAGAGCTGTAGTGGGGCTGCCTGGCGCTGGCAGCTCAGCGCAGCTGCCCCACAGCCCTCACGGTGCCTCATCTTGCCAGGCGACCGAGCTGTTGGAGGCCATCCTGGAGGGGTACCCCAAAAGCAAGAAGCAATTCTTCGTAAGTACTGAGGCTGGGCTCGGCCCCAGGGCAGTGATGGCCGTGGCTCTGCCTGCGCTGCCGGGCCGGGGCTGCCGCCCTGGTGAGACGCTCTGTGCTCGCAGCTGCCCCACAGCCCTCACGGTGCCTCATCTTGCCAGGCGACCGAGCTGTTGGAGGCCATCCTGGAGGGGTACCCCAAAAGCAAGAAGCAATTCTTCGTAAGTACTGAGGCTGGGCTCGGCCCCAGGGCAGTGATGGCCGTGGCTCTGCCTGCGCTGCCGGGCCGGGGCTGCCGCCCTGGTGAGACGCTCTGTGCTGGTACAGGAGGAGGTTGGGATAGAGACGGACGAGGACCATAACGTCACGCTGCCAGCGGCCGTGTGAGGCGCTGAGGGAGCCTTTGCCCCAGGGAGGAGGAGCTGATGCTGAAACCCAGTTGTTCGGTTTTTTTTCTTTCCTCTTTTTTGCAAGGTTTGGGCTGGTCCTGCATATTTATATGCATTTGTTTTAAAATGCTCTGCAGCTGGAAGGGTGGTTGGAGCCACTGACTTGGCACTGGGCCCTCTCACTGTCTCACTTGCAGAGGGAACATTATTCCTTCCTGTCCTTCAGTGCAGTGAGCTGTTGAGGGCGGGTGTCCTCACGGGGCTGTAGGGGAAGGTGTAGGTACGCTATTGTAGTCGCTGGTGTTCCAGTAAGAAAGGGAAGCGAGTGCCTCAGGGAGGCGATTGAACTAGTGACTGTTATGGCTGCAGAGCTCTACGTGTATTTCAGCCTCTTCCCGCAGTGTGACTGAGCGGTACACGAGAATACAACCCATTAAACACCATGCTTTTGGTTCAGCTGTGCTTTGCTGTGGTGTTTTCCTCTGTTCAGAGGGTGTTGGGGCAGGGTTTGGTTGCAGCAGCCCTGAGGGGTGGGGAAGGCAAGAGCCAGGAGAGGGTAACCTGAGCCACGACAGCGGGGCTTCCAGAAACTACCTGCTGTCTCTGACCAGCTCTAAGGGAAGGCTCCAGGAACTGAGCAACAGAAATAAAAGCAGAACAATCATTAAAACATTCAGCAAAATTTATTCAATTACTTTTCACAATAGAAAAATACGTTGCTTTCACATGTGAGGTCTGTATAACTATGTCCTCCTCCCAAGGCAGGAGGCAGCTTCTGGCAGAGCATCTCCAGGGGTTCAGTGTGCACCCCACGTTCAGCCGCAGAGCCCTAACCCCAACCTGCTCATCCATGAGAGAGGATTTTCTTCATCACAAAGCAACATGTCCCAGACGAGACACAGCTGACCCCGTGTACGCTTTATCAGTGATGTGCATTGCCGCAGGGTTTGACTCTGGGGCTTCCATTGCATTGCATGGAGAAGAGCACCCAAAGGCAGGGTTTGAAGAATAATTCTGTATAAAAATCACACACACCCACCTCGAATGGGTTCTCCGCTACTAAATACAGGTAGAAGCAGTAGCTTAAACATTCTCATGCTGCAGCATTCAAACCACATAACCTGGAGCTGAGTCCTACCTCACTGACAGTGTAAAATAAATATCCACTACCCCTGGAACGGGAGCACAAACATGATTACAGAGAACAAATCCTTCTGCCAGTGTCACCGCGCTGGAGGAGCCCTAGTACAATCGGTCTGTGCGCTGAACAACCATCGCTTGGGCAGCAGCTACACCATGCCGCGAAGCGTTTGTGCTGGCCATACTGACAGCAGCAGCGTGTGACAGGTTAAAAAGTGTCCCGGAGAGCATCTGTCTGCAAAGCTGACACTGATAATACTTGAGGATGATTTCAGTGATTTATAAAAACAAAAGTAAAATCAAAACAAGGCTGGTTATGTCTACGTATGTATCTATACAAAAGTTCTAAGGAGGAGCAGCGAGAGCCTGTGGCAGTGCTGTGCTACAGCTACTGAACTACTTTCCTGTTGAGTACAGCCAGATCAAAACCCGAAGCCAGACACGTTTCAGCACTCTCCAGCGCGAGCAGGGAAAGCATGCACAGAAAGCTCACTCCTGTCTCCTTGTCAGGGGAACTATGGCTACTGCGGAAGAGGTCAGGTTTTAGCAAGTGCCCCGCATGTGCTGCCAGCTCTGCACCGGTGAGGTTGCAGCTGTGCTGAGTAAGCGTCTCCCTGGCAGTGATGGGCTCACCCTTCAGCCAGCCCTGCCAGGCTTCCCCAAAGCATCTACACAGTTAAAAAACCTGCGTTGTAAGAGCTGCTTCAGAGGGAGGTATGAGAGCCCACAGTTACGGGAGAAGCCTGTTCCTAGTCTGTTTTAACAGAAACGAACAGCTTTTAGCATGCATTCTTGTTTCATTCTCCCTCCCCCAGGATCAGAAGGGGTTGTACCAGAGGCCTGAGGTTACAGAGCAGATCTGCTCCACGGCGGAGAGTCGGCAGCACAGGCAAACCCCGCCACGCCTGCCTGAGCTACAGACTTTCTGTCACCTTAAAAGACCTCTACTCAATACACACTTTTTTCCCCGTCTTTGCTAAGTCCCTACAAATATTTGGTAATATTGACTGTGACAGTACCTGTGGAGCAGAGCTGTCTGCACAGCCTCATTTTGGTTTTGTAGTTAATACAATAAATAATTCAGAGAAGCTTTAAGAACAGCCACGAGGGAGATGGCCCAGCCCTTCCTGGTGCCCGTCGCCCAGGCCCCTGGGCAGGAGATGCCCCGTTCCCGCAAGTGTGGAGGCGACGGCAGCCCCGGAGCTGCTGGCGCTGCAGTGGGAAGGCTCAGTAGAGCTGACTCTTCAGTTGGTGCAGGACCCCGATGACAATGTCCCGCAGTGTCTGGGGCAGAGAGGAGACACAGTCAGTTGTTCCAGTGCAGGAATGGCCCGTCCCTGGTGAGCGACTCCCACAAGAGCCTGGGGCACGTGCCGCGGGCGTCTCCCCCGGTCACAGCACTGGAGCTGGCACAGGCGGTGCCGAACACCTCCACACCTGTACAGGAAACGCTCCCACCTCTGTTCCTGGGCTGCGGGGTCTCCTCAGCCGCAGCAGGGCAGGGACCCGGCCCTGCCTGAGTGCCTGCCCCCCTCAGAGGTTTCTTAATTCCCAGAAAACCTTTAGGTGTCCTAAGGGAGTGATGGGCACCAAGCAGGAGTCTCCTTCTGAACTCTGTTTCACCCTGGCCAGCTTTCAGCACCAAACTAGTCCGGCAGCTGGAGTGGGAGAGGCTGGAGCTCGGGCACCATCTCCCATCCCCCCTACGCCCCTGCCCTGCCCCAGTCCATCACTGGTCACATGCTGCCCTTTTGGAAACCCTAAGAGAGGGGACAGCCGCACCCAGCCCCACACGCCAGCTGGGTGCAGATGTGTGCGGTGGTCTCTGCCCTGTTTCCCTCTGCCATCGTAAGAGCCCACCCGCAGCTCCCACTTACCTGGGGCTTGCAGTGCTCCTCAATCCAGCTGAAGACGCAAGCCGAGAGCTCCTGAAAACTCGTTACCGAGATGGAGGCGTTAAAGGACTGGAACAGGGAATCCATAATGCCTTGGAAAACATTGAACTTCACCTCGTCAGAGACCTGGTCCTTCCCCTCATTCGGGTTGTCCTGATGAGCTTTCACAATCTGCTCATAGTTCCTGAAACAAACCAAGCGCCCCATGTTCAGCAGCAGAGTGAGGCCTCCCACCCCCAGCTTCTGCTCAGTTGCGGGGGCAGAGCTCCCTGCCTGTCACTGGCCATTGAGAACCACTGCAGGGATGGGGAGGATCGAGAATTTGCACAAGATCCTGCAAGTAAATAAATACTGGGAAACTGCAGCCTCTCCTGACACTGAGAGCAGATTAATTTTATGACTCAGATTCATCTTCATACTAAACCGAGCCAAAACAGACCCACGCTAACGAGCCGCAGGAGGACAAACGATGACAGCAGGCAGGGACAGGCTTGGTACTCCGGGTGCCAGGCTGTCTGCAAAGCACTGAGTGCACCCACGGAGCCTTGAAAGGACGGGGGGGAAGAAGAGGGCAGCAACCAACAGCTCTTCCCTTACACTTTCATGATCTTCAAGGCCATCACGTCTTTCCTGAGGGTAGAAACTTCCTCCTCTTGCTTCTTCTTTTCCTTGTGCAGGAACTGGATGTAGTCAATGGCTGAGCACAAAAATACAGAGTGAGGATTCGAGAGCACACACAAACCCCCGAGATCCCCACAGAAGATGCCCAAGCCTGGGCAGCATCAGCTCCCGGCTGCCCTGATTCCCCTTGGGGAGGTGTGTGGGTGGAGGTGGCCAGCACCTGGGCTCCCTCAGAGCATCATCACACCATAAGGTCACAAAGTGCTGAACCTCCACGCTGCATGGCTCTGGCGAGGCGTTTTGGGGGTTGATAGCACCCCCTTCCCTCTCCCCACCCTCAAGACTCACTTTTCTGGAGGACGATGGCCTTGCTCAGCTTCTGGGAGCCTATGGAGAAATCCTGCTGCTCACAGGTGGGAACAATGGCCTGCAAGTCATCGTAGCCTTTCTGTGAGGAAGCAGAGCCACAGCGCATGTATTTGGAGTTCAGCACTGTGAGACTGGTTGTTTCAAAAGGTGTCAAACCCCAGCTCCCACCACGCAGCCAGCCAGAGCGTGTCTGGGGAGGGTAGGTCCAGTAGCAAAACAAAGGGGAAGGTGCTGAAAACTGCAGGGTGCTGGGTGCTGCAGGGCCCCGGGAACCAGCGAGTCGCTGCGCTCTGACAGCACACGCAGCCTCGCGGGTTACCTTGATGGCGTCTCGCCTCTTCTGCTCCGCCTGGGTGTGCGCCCGCCTGCGCCGGTCCTTGTACGACTCCTTGTAGGGCTCCTGGTGATAATCACTGTCCTCGTCATCTGCGTGGAGAGAACTTGCCTGAGTGCGAAGCCGGACTGGTGAGCTTCTGAGGCATGGGGGGCAGAGGCACATGGAGCGGGCGGCCGCTCAAGGCACCAGCTGGGCTCCCTTCTCCTGCAGCCCTACAGGCCGCGGCCAGGCCGAGGACAGCACCGCGCGCCCAGGGCGGCAGTCAGCTCCAGCAG